GTATGATGTAGCATATACTCCAGGCTTGTTCTTCACTAGGTCTTGGTTGAATACTGGGGGGATGGGGTAGGTGTTATTGCATGCCGGCACGGATGCCGGAAACAACAACAACACMGTCGTGACCGGAATCTTCTTCCKGTCCGTAAAATACTGGAAAAGGAACTGCATGGAGATGCTGGGGAATCTGCTTGAAACTGAGTATGATGTATAATATAGCATATACTCCAGGCGTGTTCTTCACTAGGKCTTGGTTGAATACTGGGGGTTGGTGTCATTGCATTCCGGCACGAATGCCGGAAACTACTTCAACACCGGAAGATACCACTCGGTGCTTCCGGAGGAACAGGGGGGATGGAACCAGCTGGGGCAAACTACCACCAGCTKGTKGATATCGATATACTTGGAATAGGCTTGGTTACATTGCTTGGGTGCTGCTTGAATTGAGCCAGGGAGGAGGATTTTCCCCTTCCGAAGGGGATGTCATCATGGTGGGGTCTTCGGAATTCGGAAGCCGGAAGGAGCTTGTCAGGTAGGATTGTACGTAGGAATCAGTAGGAATTCTAGGTGATAATTTTCATAAGCGAAGTGTAATTTCGTGCGTTTGAAAAAATTCGATTTGAAAATTATAAAGGACCTTACATAGATTAGTTTGTTGCCAATATGATTGTTGCTAGAGCACAATTCAATAACCTGCAGTACAAAGAAACCATCACCGTGTAGTTCAGGGGCTGCTTTGTAGCATTCATCTAGAACAGATTGGCAAGTTTTGTGATCAGACCGCTTCCAGTACTCCAGGTAAAACCAGACAACCTCTCCAATTTGATAGCCCATTGGTAAAGTAGCTCTCTTTCAGCCACTAACAGTATGTTGTGGTCCCTCATGATCTTCATTAAATGTATTTTGACCTTTGCTGCGGGTGGTAACAACTGTTGATCAAAGGGAGTTTTGATTACATCAACAAGAACAGAGTTGAAGCTTTCCTCCAAATGAATGTGTTCATACTAGAAAACACCATTGTTGAGATCAGAATGGAAGGATTTCATTGCAGACTCTATTAACACACAATCAACTTCTTCAACTGAAGGGTTATACATTACTTGGTTGTCAAGATTCTGAAGCATGCCACTAGTAGATGGACTGTCTTGGGTAATAGTTAAGGCAAACTGTTGG